TTTTTTTTGAGTTGGAGTCTCACTCTGTCGCCCAGACTGGGGTGCAGTGGCCTCTCCCAGTCACTGCAGCCTCAACCTGCTGGGTTCTGGCCATCCTTCCGCCTCAGCCTTCCAAGTAGTTGGAACTACAGGTGTGTGCTACCACGCCCGGCTAATTTTTTGATTTATTGTACAGATGAGGTCTCACCAAGTTGCCCAGGCGGGTCTCGAACCTGCGGGTTCAGGCAATTCACTCACCCCAGCCTCCCAAAGTGTGGGATTACAGGCTGAGCCACGGAGCCCAGCTACTAGGGTGCTTTCATCTGTCATCCACTGCTTTACAGACCAAAGGGCAAGACTACCATCCAGAACTTGGAGTCAGTTCTGAATGCCTGGGTGCCTGTCCTGACCTCTGCCCATTGTGCTCATGACACACCCAAATGCCACTCCTCCAGATGCTTCTCCCATCCTGGTACCAACAAGAGAGCCCCACACCAGACTGAACCAGACCTGTGCTGCCAGAGCCCTGATTCCTCTTTTCTTTCTTTTTGAGTCTCACTCGCCCAGGCTGGAATGCAGTGGCATGTTCATGGCCACTACAGCCTCAACCTGCTGGGCTCAGACAATCCTTCTGCCTCAGCCTTCCAAGTAGCTGGAACTACAGGAATGCGTCACCAAGTCCAGCTAATTTTTTGATTTATTGTGGATATGAGGTCTTGCCATGTTGATCAGACAATCCTCTCGCCTCAGCTTCCCAAAGTGCTGGGATTACAGGCGTGAGCCACCGCGCCTGGCTTCCCTGATTCCTCTCTCTAATCAGATACCACATCCTGGGACAGCCAGTGGGCTTAGCCCAGGATGGGAAGAAGCTGGGGGACTGTCCCCCACACATGAGACCTAAAGGGAGTCAAGACCATTCAGCACAAAGAGCCGAGGCTGGTTCTGTCCTGGGCACTGATGCTTCCTGTGGCTGGTTACCTCGTCTCAGGGTCCCTCATCCAACTCACAGGGCTAGCATGACATTCAGAAAAACAGATGCCCAGGAAGTGCCCAGACCAGTTTGGGGCTCAGCAAAAGCAGCTCCCCAGAAGCTGGGTAAAGAGAAGAGCCTGAGGCTTTGGAAAGGCCAGCAGGAGGCTGGTGACCTTGGGGACTGAAGTTCTCTAAGAAAACAAGGACTGCTCTCCCAGGCAGAGCTGCTGAGGCCCTGGCAGGACTCGCTGCAAAAGTAAGAACAGTGCAGTCCTCCCCAGAGCTGACCCCATGGGATCCGGGGACAGAGCAGTAAAGTGTTCCAGCAGACACGCTGTAGGGGCTCCCGAGGTCTCGCCCACCTACCTGGCCCCGTGCCGCCTGGATCTTCTCGTGCAGTCGCTGGCGCAGAAAGTCCAGGGCAAAGAGAGAGTCGGATTCCTTGGCCGGGCCATCTGCAGGAAGGAGCCCTCTTCAGCCTTTCCCCTCCCTCCCCAGGGCCCAGCATCTAAGTCTAAATCTCTGTTCATCGACCTCCCTGTTGCCTGGTGGCTACTCGTGGACTGTAGGGCAATTCTAGTAAATTCTACGCCACCTCTTCAATCTGGATGGGTCCCTACAATGTCCTCCAGCACAGGTGACTAACTTCCTCGCAAGGTAAGGCACTGTGGCATGAGAAAATACTTCCTATGGCAGAAGCCAAGCTATCTCCCATTTCTTCCAACTTCTGCGGCCTGAGCCCTAGAACAAGTTGGCTCGTGACGCCCACACAGAGACCTGAGGGCAGTGAAGCTCTTCAAGCCTAGCTACTCCAGGTCCTCTGAGAGACAGGGCCTTGCTCTTGCCATCCTGCTTGCCACATGGCCTGGACCCACCATGTACATGCTCAGATGCCACCCACCCACAGTGCTTCTACGATCTTTGCTCTTGGGGACGTCTTGTGAGATCCACGTGTGCCTGATAGTGCCTTTTCTTATGCACAAAAGAGACCATGTCTGTATCCAAGCCCAAACTGGTCTGTACTCCCCGCCTGCCCCAGAGTCTCTCACCTGCAGGAGCCCTATGGGAGCCGGAAGCCTCCTTCTCTTTGGCTGCCTCTGGCCTCCTGGTCCCAGATGCCACTGGAGACTTCTTCTCCACGGACTTGATCTTGTGCTCAGCAGTGTGTTCCTTCTGCTCCTGGAATTTCTTTTGCCTTTTCTTCTTTTTCTTTTTTGGGGGTCCAGCAGCTTCTGGGCCTTTAGTTTTGCCAGCTGAAGTACAAAATAAGAGCGTTGTCATTCCAATCTCTGTGACTCATTCAACAGGCAGGAAAGTCTCCCTAAGGCTTTGATCCCAGAAGGATGCAGAGAATCAGGATGGAGTAGTCAGACACTTATCCACAGAGCTCAGAACCGCAATCCTAGAAAGCAGGTTGGCTACACATGTCATAAACTTAAAAAACATTCACATTCTTGACCCAGCAGTTCTGCTTGTGAGAATTCATCAAATACAGAGATTTGGTTGGTTTCAAGGATGTTTATTGCCTTATTTAAGTGAAAAACCAGGAAAACCTAAATATCCACCTCTAGCAACAAATAATGGCATGCTATACAACAAACTACTACATAGCTATCATCAAAAATAATGACATAAGCTCCCCCTTCTCCTTTTCAGTCTGAGTCTCACTCTGTTGCTCAGGCTGGAGTGCAATGGCACACTCAGTCACCGCAGCCTCAACTTGCTGGGCTCAGGAGATCCTTCCGCCTCAGCCTTCCAAGTAGTTGGAACTATAGGCATGCACCATCATGCCCGGCTAATTTTTTGATTTATTGTAGAGACAAGGTCTTGTCAAGTTTCCCAGGCTGGTCTCAAACACTTGTGCTCAGGCAATCCTCTAGCCTCAGACTCCCAAAGTGCTGGGATTACAGGCACCGCATCTGGCTATAGGTTTTCATTTTAGCAGGTCAGGAAAATGTTTATTTTTTAAATGGAAGAAATGAGTATGTATAGTAGGACCTGCATTGTTTCAATACGTGAAATATACACTTATGGGCTGTACTAGGATACGTGCACTTATAGAAGAAGGATGAGAAAGACAATCTGAGGTTATAACTAGGTGATGAGAAAACTCAACTAAGTTTTCTAATTTCCTGTAGCGAATATGTTTTCCATGTATAAAGAGTAAATTCAGCTTGGGCAACATAGACCCAGTCTCTACAAACAAAACAAAACAAAACAACAGCAAAAAACTAGCCAGATGTGACAGCATGCGCCTGCAGTCTCATGTAGTGTCAGCTACTTGAGAGGGTAAGGTGGGAGGATCCTCTTAGCCCAGGAGGTAGAGGCTGTGATGAGCCATGATCTTGCCACTGCACACCAGCCTGGGCAACAGAGTGAGACCTCGGCTCAAAAAAAAAAAAAAAAAAAAAAACAAACGAAAAAAGAAAAAGAAATCGTTTTACGTCTCCTGGTTCCACGCTAAACCCTGATGCTCCAGGGTTCAGACAGCTGACAAGTCCTAGCTCCCAGCTTCCCCTGCTGACCCATCTACTTTCTGTGCACAACCTGGTCACCAGTCATGCCAACAATAAAGGCAGGCGCCCTCTTCCACCTTCCCTCTCCCCACACAACACCGGGTCCTTCCAACATGGGCTGAGAAAGTATTTTTCCACCGAGTGTCCACGACTGGGAACCCTCCGGTGGAGGTAATGAAGGCGGCTCCCAGTGCCCACCAGCCGAGAACCTATCCTACAGGGGTCACCTCCTCCAAATCTCTGCTGCCGCCCTTCCTGCCCGAGGCAGGGTGCAACCCCAGGATGGCAGTTTCGGGCTGAGGCCTGTACCAAGGGAAACACCGGTAACCTTAAACGGCACTTATGTTTACTTCAAATACTTTTCTTTTTGAGTTGGAGTCTCACTCTATTGCCCCAGCTGGAGGGCGGTGGCACAATCACGCCCTCTGCAGCCTCGACCTTCTGGCCTCAGGCGATCCTTCTGCCTCAGACTCTCGAGAAGCTGGAATTACAGGCGCGCACCACCACACCCGGCTAATTTTTTTGATTTACTGTAGAGACGAGGTCTTGCATGTTACACAGGCTGGTCTTGTTCTCCTGGGCTCAGGCAATTCACTCGCCTCGGCCTCCAAAAGTGCTGGGATTCCAGGCGTGAGCCACCGCGCCCGGCTTACTTCTAATGCGTAGACGTGTCTAATCCACCCGAAGGTTACACCAATCTCGGCCGCAGCGAAGAGCGGGGAAAGAAAGGGACCCCGCTTTCCAAGCCCCCCACCCCCAGTCCCGCCCAGACACTGCAAGTCCCCGCGCCCGGCTGCTCATTACCCCACGTGCGCTTCCGCGGCTCGGGCCCGGGCTGGGCGCAGATTTTCCTCGCCAGGCTCTGCAGGTAGGTGTCTTTGGCGAGCAGAGAGGCCATGGCCGAGGCCTGGGTCGGGGCAGCGCCTCCGGTGTCCTGCAACGGAGACAGGCCGAGGCGCGGCCGCGGTGCCTGGGTCACGCCCGACACACACTGACCGGGGAGCACAAGCGACGCTCCGGCGCCCGAGGCTGCCACCGCCGGCTCCGCGCGCCGGAAACCACCGCCTGCGCAGGCACCGCCAGTCGAGCGCCGAGCCCAGCCCGCGCTCGATTAGCCAGGTCTGGCTGCGCCGGAAGAGGCGCGGGGCTGCGCGGGGGCGCACAGCATTGTGGGCCGTGGGCTGCCGCGGACGAGTCGCGAGCAGTGGGGTGGCCAGCCAGTCTCCTGCCGGCTTCTGCCGGGAGGCGGGGTGCTGCTGGGCGACTCCGAGTCCCGACCTCTGTGCCTGCGCTTCCCCGATCTCTCATGTGTGCTAGCGGTGTCCATTTCCCCACCCCTGGCACACCGCCCCGTACCCAGCAGGCGCTCAATAAATGGGGATTGAATGAATGAATCGTCAGTATGGAATGAATTCAGTCCTTCAGGGACCTCAGGTCTCGGGGAGAGGCGGACTGAGCGCCCAGCGTGTGGCAGACACCCAGGCCCTGGGGACACAAGTGTAGCTAATGCACAAACGTGTTCCCATCGAGGTAAGGATGTCACGTGTCAGATGAGGGGCGGGAGAAGACGGCTCACGGAGGACCCGCTGGGGGGGCGACTTTTGCTCGGAAACACAGACTAAGATTTTTAGCCAAGACTTGTCCATTGTAAGAACTCGCAAGCCGGGCTCGGTGGCTCAGTCTGTCATCCCGCGCCTTTGGGAGGCTGAGGTGAGTGGATTGCCTGAGCCCGCGGGTTCGAGACCCGCCTGGGCAACTTGGCGAGATCTCATCTCTACAATAAATCAAAATTAGCCGGGCGTGGTAGCGCGCTCCTGTAGTTCCAGCTACTCGGGAGACTAAGGCGGAGGGATCGCCAGAGCCCAGCAGGTTGAGGCTACGGTGGCCCGGAGCGGCCACTGCACTCCAGTCTGGGTGACAGAGTGAGACTTCAACTAAAAAAAAAAAAAAAAAAAAAAAAAAAACTCGCCACGGGCAGGAGAAAGAAGAGGTCCCTGGCCAGCGCAGGGGACCACCACCCTCCTGTTCCTACACTTGAAAATTACAGGCTTTTGTTAGGCACCCAGAGCCCCTTCCTGGGCTGCCTTGAAGTCGGGAGGGAGGGCTCCGGTTACTCATTCTGGGAAGGGGAACTTGCTTAGATTACAGCTTCCAAAGGCTATTTCAAAAGGCTGCTGCTAAGATACATTTTGGGGAATAGGGGGTCAGAGTCTCACTCTGTCGCCCAGCCTGGAGTGCAGCCACGCCATCTGGCTATCGCAGTCAACCTTCTGGACTCTCAGGCCATTCCTCCGCCTCAGCCTGCTGAGCAACTGGTACTACAGACAGTGCCACCACCCCTGGCTAATATCTTCGTTTATTGTAGACGATCTCGCCAAGTTGTCCAGGCTGGTTTCAAACTCCTGGGCTCAGCCAATCCTCTTGCCTCCACCTCCCAAAGTGTTGGGATTACAGATGTGTGAGCCACCAAGCCTGATCTAAAACAACAAGAAATTAACTATTTCTCCTACCCTCTGCCATGAGGCAATGTTTTATGCAGAGGATGTGCTTGACTATGCTCACGAGTCCTCTAAACAGCAGACTCTCATCCAAATACCCTAAAACCATCACCTAAGTACAAAACGGGGATCAGACGTCCCCTACCTCATCTCAGTTAAAGCAGCTTGGCCCTTCCAGGTGCTCAGGCCAGAACCTTAAGGCCCCTGACTCCTTTCTTATTTCTTATTCCCTGTCAGCAAATCCTGTCCACTATATCTCCAAAGTACTTCCAGAATCTGACTCTACCCACTCCCACCTCACCACCACTATGGTCTTATTTTAGATTTTTTTTTTCTTTCAGAGTCTCACTCTGCTGCCCAGGCTAGAGTACAGTGGCACACTCACAGCCACCGCAGCCTCTACCTGCTGGGCTCAGGTGATCCTTCCTTTTCAGCCTTCCAAGTAACTGGAACTACAGGTGCATGCCACCACGCCCAGCTAATTCTTTTATTTATTGTAGAGAGGAGGTCTCACCAAGTTGCCCGGGCTAGTCTTGAATCCCTGGGCTCAGGCAGTCCTCTTGCCTCTGCCTCCCAAAGTGCTAGGATTACAGGCGTGAGCCACCATGCCCAGCCTGTTTTAGATCTTAAAAGATGTACAAAATAACAACCAAATGCATTGCAAAATAAAAATAGGAATAAAAAGACATTGGGGAACAACTGAGGAAATATGAATATGTATGGATACATGACAATATGGAGTTATCACTTATTTTGGCGGTGATGATGGTACTGGGCCATGAAGGAGAAAGAACCAAGATGAAAAGTATTTAGGGTGAGATATTGTAAGGTTTGCAATTGATGTTCAAATGGTTTGGTTTTTTTTGAGTTGGAGTCTCACTCTGTCGCCCAGGCTGGAGTGCAGTGGCATGCCCATGGCCACTGCAGCCTCGACCTGCTGGGCTCAGGGGATCCTTCTGCCTCACCCTTTCAAGTAGCTGGAACCACAGGTACATGCCACATGCCCAGCTAATTTTTTGATTTATTGTAGAGAGGAGGTCTCGTCAAGTTGCCCAGGCTGGTCTCCAATCCGTAGGCTCAGGCAGTCCTCTCACCTCAGCCTCGCAAAGTGCTGGGATTATAGGTATAAGCCACCGTGCCCAGCCCTCAAATGGTTTTTAATGAGAAACAGCTAGCAAAAGTGAATCCCCAAAAGGGTCTATATAGTTGTTCTTTATACTACTACTACAACTTTTACATGGGTTCACATGCTCTCAAAATAGTAAAATACTTGGGGCTGGACACGGTGGCCCAAGCTTGTAATCCTAGCAATTGGGGCACTCAAGGTGCGGGACCAGCCTGAGCAATATAGTAAGACCCTGTCTCTAGGAAAAAAATTAAAGCCGGGCTTGGTGGCTCAGCCTGTAATCCTCGTACTTTGGTATGCCAAGGCCAGTGGATTGCCTGAGCCTACAAGTTCAAGACCAGCCCGGGCAACTTGGCGAGAGACCTAAATTACAGTAAAAAAAAAAAAAAATTAGCTGGGCATGGTAGCGTGCCTGTAGTTCTGGCTACTTGGAAGGCTGAGGTGGAAGGATTGCCTGAGCCCAGCAGGTCGATGCTGGGGTGGCTGTGAGCGTGCCACTGCACTCCAGCCTGCGTGACGGAGTGAGACTCCAACTCAAAAAAAAATTAAGAAATTAGCCAGGTGTAGTGGTACACATCTGTATCTCAGCTATCAGGGAGGCAGAGGCAGAATGATCACCTGTGTCCAGAAGGTTTAGGCTGTGATGAGCTGTGATCGTGCCACTGTACTCCAGCTTGGACAACAGAGTGAGACCCTGATTCAAAAATAAAATACGCCGGACTCGGTGGCTCAGCCTGTAATCCCGTGCCTTTGGGAGGCTAAGGTGAGTAGATTGCCTGAGCCCGCGGGTTCATGACCCACCTGGGCAACTTGGTGAGACCTCGTCTCTACAATAAATCAAAAAATTAGCTGGGCATGGTAGTGCGCACCTGTAGTTCCAGCTACTTGGAAGGCTGAGGTGGAAGGATTGCCAGAGCCCAGCGGGTCAAGGCTGTGGTGGCCGGGAGTGGCCACTGCACTCCAGTCTGGGCGACAGAGTGAGACTCCGGCTCAAAAAAATAAATAAAATAAAATAAAATAAAATACAAGTTAAAAAAAGCTTAGAATGTCAAGGTGATATAGACTGCCAATTGATCAGGGTTTAGCAACACAGGTCAGTCAGCCCAGGGCACAGAGCCGTGGCTCTGGGCAAGAGGCAGTGGGCAGAGATCTGTAGCTTTGCTGGTGTCATGGAGACAAGAACTGCCTGATGTAGGTTCAAGAGAACTGCACAGAGACTGCTTCCCCTGGGAGTTCTGCTACTAAGGATAGGAGAGGAAAAGGGGTCAGGGAGCGGCTTTTTTTTTTTTTTTTTTTTTTGAGTTGGAGTCTCACTGTCGCCCAGACTGGAGTGCTGTGGCCGCTCCCGGCCACCGCAGCCTCAACCTGCTGGGCTCCGGCGATCTTTCCGCCTCAGCCTTCCGAGTAACTGGAGTTACAGGCGCGCGCTACCATGCCCGGCTAATTTTTTTATTTTATTGTTGAGATGAGGTCTCGCTGCCCAGGTGGGTCTCGAACCCGCAGGCTCAGGCAATCCACTCGCCTCAGCCTCCCAAAGGCGCGGAATTACAGGCTGAGCCACCGAGCCCAGCGGGGGAGCAGCTTTAATAGAGAAACATCTTATTGTCAAATGGAAGTGATGGCTGAGCACAGTGACTCACGCTGTAATTCCAGCACTCTGGGAGGCTGAGGCAAGAGGATTGCCTGAGCCCAGGAGTTCAAGACCAGCCTGGGCAACATGGTAAGACCTCATCACTACAATAAACATGGAAAAAATTAGCTGAGTGTGGTGGCACATGTCTGTAGTCCAAGCTACTCGGGAGGCTGAGGCTGAAGGATTTCTGGAGTCCAGCAGGTCAAGGTGCGGTGGCTGTGATCATGCCTCTGCACTCTAGCCTGGGTGACAGAGAGACTCCAACTCAAAAAAAAAAAAAAAAAACAGATGGGAATGATGGTCTTGGCCAAGCAGAACATAAACTTGATGGTGCAGATGATTTTATCACTTAGGTTTTTAGAGACTGAGGACAAGTGAAACCCCCACAAAGTCTGGCCAGTTTCTTCCAGCCTTTCCCCTCATACGTGCTTCCATTTGGTCAACTCTTTTTCCCCCTTAGTGGTTAGGTACCAGCTATTTTTGCAATTAAAATAGGGCAGGAAGTGATTACCAGGCATCTTATCAATGGGGAAACTCCCTCGGAGAGGAAGCAACTTTCCAGGCTGCCCCAATACCAGGGCTGTGCAGTCCCGCCTGTCTGGTGCCTTGTACCTGGCAGTAGGATCTCCGGGCCCCATGACGATGGGTCAACTTGT